CCCCGGCTGCCCTCAGGGTGCAGTGGGGACAAGGTCCAGCGGTGCCCATCGGGGGCTGGCGAGGCTCGCTCGCTGCTGGAGCCCACCTGGAGGGAGCGGAGCTGGGAGGCCAGCAGCTGCTCGGGAGCACTGTGCCGGTGTGGCACGTGGCCCTTGAGGGGGGACAGCAATGGGTTGTCACCTGCTGTCGTGGCATCCAGCACTCGGTGCATGCTGCCATCCAGATACAGCCGGTCATCAGACTCCATGCTCTCCCCCAGGAGCGGCTCAGCTGGGCACTGGTCCGGGTGGGAGCTCAACATGTAATACTGGTCAGCAGAGAGACGGTCCTTTGTGGGGTACGGTGCCAGCGTCCTCCCGCCCACCGCCTCCGCCTCCCCATCCCGCTGGCAGAGGAAGGTGTCGGAGATCCACCGGCCCTTGGCATGCAGCATGTCCGCTGACACTGACGCCCGGTGCCTGTCCCCTCTGCTGCCCGGGGCTGCCCGCAGGCTGTCCCTCCTGACAGGGGGTTGGGGAGGCACAGGCGCCCGCCAGGCCTCGGGGTGCCGGCTGGCAGATGGCTCAGCCCCTGTGGTCAGGTAGCGCCCGTCAGGGGCCTTGTAGGCGCCTTGAAAACTGGAGTCAGTGGACACGGCCTCTTCAGGGCGGAGGGAGAGGGCGCAGTCGGAGGCGATGGAGCTGGCAGAGAAGGAGCTATAGGCCGAGTCCCGCTTGCTGTGGTACATGCCCTGGTCAACGGGTGAGGGGTCTCCTTCATAGTAGGCCTGGCCAGGGTGGTCCAGGCTCTCCATGCTCCCGATGGAGCTGCTCCGGTCGGTGCTGCAGTGCCGGGACAGCGGGTTCCACTGCAGGGACAGCTCACTGCTGCCCGGCCCCATGCCAGCATTAGGGGTGTCTGCCACCCCCTGCCCAGCTCCGCGGAGATCCCACCCCCCCACACGTACACCCTCCCCGGGACAAGTGGGCACAGAGCAATGCAGCCCCAACCTGCTCTTCACCACTGGGTTTGGGGGCAGCACCAAGATTGCCTCAGCACTGGCAGGGGGAGCAGGCACAGGGAAACACAGGGTGTGCCTGTAACTTCAGCCTACTTCGGGACCATCCCCAGCTTCCTGGCAGCAAAGGGGCCAAAAGGGGACTAAGCAGCTCCTGGCCAGCTCCGGCAGAGCCACCGCCCCTTCCTGCCGGGAGCTGGGAGTAAACAGGCAGGGGAAAGGGCAGCGCAGTGGAAGGATGAGGGGGGATGCCCGACAGTTGTGTGGGGCAGGCATGTGAGCATCTACGCCATACCCCCCACCCTGACCCAAGCGGGTGCCCCATGTGCCCCCTCCCCTTGCGCAGTCTCATGAATGCCCCAGGGTCTCACCTGACATCACACCCTGAGGGCCATGAGAGGCTGAAGGCATCAGCAGGGCAGTGCATGGTGGGGGCGTCGGGGCGGCTTTCGGCGAGCTTGGCCACGTGCCAGGAATGGGGGCGGAGGACGGGCACACTCCTCCTGCCAAGAGCAACAGCGGGAAAGGACAAGAATGGGGAGGAAGCCAGGCCGAGGAACCGGGGCTGAAGTCACTTCCTACGGGGCTTCCTGTCCCCCCAGACCAGCGCCTGCCCAAGGGGGACGGTGGTGAGGAGGGTCCAGCCCTGCCAGCACCCAGCAGTGGGCAGGGGGATCCCACGGTTCACCCCACTGGCCAGAGTCCCCTGCCTGCAGCATCCCTGTTGCCAGCATCAACAGGGGACCGAGGACGTGGCCCCTGCGCAGCCCACAGGCAACACCCCGGGCAGGGCAAACGGACCAGCTCCGCCAAGGGACCCTGAGGCCACATCTGCGTCTCCACCACAAGCCTGACCCTCCCCCCTTGTTCCTCGGTCCCTCAGCATCCCCAGCAAGCACCGGCCACATCTTGTCTCCGGGGAGGAGGGGGGGTGTCCCGTGCTGGGCCCCATCCCAAACCCTGGCAGCCGTGGGGTTCTCCAGTCCCCACGCCACATGCAGGCAGCAGTGTCCAATGCCACCACACAGGCACGTGGTCAGAAGCCACCTCCTGAACCCCCCAAGTGCCGAGTGCTGCCCCAGCATCCACTAACGAGGTAAGGAGGGTGGCAAGGACAAGCTGCCGAGTCAGTGCAGGGACTTCCCTTCCCAGAGCCCCCAAACTCACCATGGACGATGCTGAGCCCCAGCACAGCCCCGTGGTACCCCTGCCCAGTGGGCAGTGCCGCTGGAGCTGGAGTCAGTCAGGATGCAGCCAGGGAATGGATGCAGATTGGGGGTGGGGGGGAAGACTGCAAGGCCCAGCCCTGCCTCTCCTTCCTTTCCCAGGCAGGCAGGCAGGAGGCAGGCAGGAAGGGAGAGGAGCGGCCACGCTTGAGGATACCGCCCAGCAAGGGGGTGGCGAGCCGGCCGCACTGCCCCGGCTCCTCTGGCTGGGGAACCCCCACCCACCCAGAGCACTGGCAGCCACAGGGGGACTGACCCCCATCCCATCCCAACAAGGGGCACCTCCAGGCTGGAGGCAAGGGCATCTCCAGGCTCCTGTCAGCCCCCTGGGCAGGCGAAGCCCCGCTGCCCCTCCCTGCATCCCTCCCCCGCAGCGCTGCCAACCTGCGAACGATCATCTTCAGGGTGCGGTAGGAGCCCTTGATGAGGATCAGGGCCTCCTGGCGGGACCCGTACAGAGGCGTCCCGCTGATGTTCACCAGCTCGTCACCCGGCTGCAGCCGGCGGGACAGGGCAGCCTTGCCCCCATCCTCCACCTGGGCAACAGAGAGGGGCGTCAGGGGGGGCACAGCCCCCAGAACATCCCAGGGGATGTGCCGCTGCCACGGGGTGCAGGGGGAGAAAGAGGCTTCAGAAAGGGGCAGTTGCCTGAACCCCAGGCACCACAGAAGGATCTGAGCGCGCCGGGCTCCCCCCCTTCTCTGGTCACATGAATTTCTGAGCAAGGAAAGGACATCGGGGAGGGGGGAGAAAGAAAAATGTCCCATCCCAGCAGATTCCCCCGCGGGTGCAGGCAGCACAAGGGCCCTTTGTCCGGCGTGGATGCCAGCCCCCTGCCGCTGCTTCCAGCCCCCTGTCGGGCCTGCCTGGGCACCCGTGGTGATTTCAATGCCCAAAGCATGCCATCATGCCCTATGTGCCCATGGGAGACAACTAGCAGGGGAAGCACTGAGCCCTGGAACATGCCTACCCATCCCTGACACCCATGGCCAAAATGAGCCTGGTACCCTGTACTGCTGCAGCTTGGAGGACACAAGGTTACGGTGCTGCCAGCATGTGGGACCCCAGCCCACCCCCTCTGCCCCAGCAGGTAGGTGCAGTGTGGGCAGTCCCGGGATGAGCAGTGCCCAGCAGGTGCAGCCAGAGTGCCCATTGCCAGCAGGACCTGGGGTGCCCCATGCCCCCTTGCCTGGTGTGGATGTGGCCAGCCACTACAGCCACCCACAGAACAGAGCTAATCCGGCCCCATGCTGGGGTTCCTGCACTCGTGGGCTCCTTACCCTGCCCAGCTGCTCCCAGGCTCAGCCAAGGAACAAGCTCTGCTCACAGTGCCTGCAGCACCAGCCTGGGCAGCAGTCAGGCCCCAGCAACAGGGAGCACCCATGACTTCCTAGCAGGCCAGTCACTGTGCACATGCCTTTGGGCACCCCTTTCCAGCCCTGGTGCCAGCTGGGTCTCAGGGGCCACCCTGCTGCCCCTGGACAAGATGGCACCTTGGGAAGCAGGCAGCAGTAGCAAGGCCTCCTGACCATTCCAGCAGTGCCCCATGGCCCTGCCTGGCACAGCTATGCCCAGCACCCCACAGCTCTCCCCTTTTTTCAGGGACCTGGGCACTGCAATGCCATGGCCAGGCTAGGCACAGCCCAATGTGTCTGCCTGTGCAGGCACGCTGCCCTCCCACCCAGATACCAGCCACAGTGCTGCCTTCCTGGCAGGGGACTCTGGCTGCCTGCGAGGGCTCCCAGTCCCACCATGCAGTCAGTGAAGCACCTGAGTTTACCCCCTGCCATGCTGCTGCCTGCCACTGGGCACTGGCAGAGCAGGCAGGACAGACTGCACCTTCACCCCAGTCCTCTGCCCAGCCATGTGCCCACCCAGCCCTGCCTGCCATGGCCACAGGGCTGAGTCAGATGCGAAGGCTGTCCCCCCTACTGCAGGACACCACCAGGGCTGCACCCACGTCTGGGCCATCACATGCACCAGGACGGACATGGCTCAGCCCTGGCATCACTCCCCAGGAGCTAAATCTGGCACAAACAGCCCCTTGTTCTGCCTTCACCACCAGTGAGCTCAGCACTGCCAGCCAAACCTGGAATGGGACAGCCCTGGACACTTCCCGAAAACCACCCCTGTGTCAACTCTGGCCCCTAATGGTGGGCACCAGATGGCTCACAGCAATATCTGCCTGCCCCAGGAGAAACTTGTCTTAGGAATCACAGCCAGAGCAATGCCAGAGCTGTGCACACCCTGCCCCACACCAACCTCCCTTCTTGTCCCCGACGTGCTCAAGGGGACCCTGTGCCAGAGAGCTCTCGCAGCCCCATAGAGGGCCTGGAGCCCATGGGAGCCCCGCCGTGGGACTCTGCCACAGGAAGGGATCCCGCCCGGAGTGGGAGTTTGGAATGGCCAAACTGTGTCACCGAGTGCGGGGACGCCCTTCCCCTTTCCGGCGCGGGGCCC